TTATTTATTTATTTATTTATTTATTTATTTATTTATTTATTTATTTATTTATTTATTTATTTATTTATTTATTTATTTATTTATTTATTTATTTATTTATTTATAGCCTGCCCATCTAGTCATATAGACTACTCTGGGCGGGTAACAACATATCATATAACAATTTACAGTTTAAAATCATGACAATATCATGCGAGTCACCTCTCGCTGACTTTTTGCTGCTAAGCAGGGTTGTTACATTTAGGCTGAAGCCAGTCCCGAGTAAGGGGGCCTGGGTTCAAATCTCCACTTGGCCAGGAAGCTCCTGAGTGACTTTGAGCTGAGTCTCAATCCAGTCAACCTCACCCGGTCGTTGTGAGCATCAAGGGAGGAGCGGTGAGAAACAGCACCCACTAATAAAGAAACAAGTAAATATCATATTCCAGGAAAATAAATGGGCAGGACAAGATCAGGGAACACCCACACACCCATTCTTGACCCTGGAAGGCCATTCTGGAAGTTTTCATTTTTTAAAAAAGTGGTTTTCCCTTTTTTAAAAAAACTCCTTTATGCCCTCTAGTGGTTAAAAATTTTTTTTAAAAAAATTGAGAGTGTAGGTGTCCCTGGTTTGGGGGGATGGTGGCTACTTGAAGACGACTAAAGAGGAAAAGGAAAGGATTCTCCATTTGGGCCCAAAGGTTGACAGGTCTCAGGCGAGACTAGGACACAACACTGACACCAGCAGGGCAGGATGATAGCAAATTATCCCCAAGCAAGGAAAAGCCAGGGTTTCATCTGTTGAAGTCAGGTCAAAGCACAGAAGTCAGAGTCACACCTAATCAAGTCAAGCTCTTGTAAGAAAGGCAGGGTCAAGGTCAGGTCAAGGAAAGCAAAAACAGAGACCTACCAACCAAGATCAGGTCCAGGGAGACAGGTCAGAATCCCTCCTAGCAAAGTCAGAGCAGAATCATGCCCCAACACAGTTACATTAAGGCAGGAATGGTCCCTCTCACTGTGTGTACATCATCCTTTGCTCCTCTCTCTTTCTTTCTGCTGCTCCTTTTCTATCTGCCTTCCAGGTGCTAGCTTTCTACCTGCAGGGAGTTCAAGAGAGCACTCCCTCCCTCTCCCCCTTCCCTTCTCAGTCGGCTGCCCAAGGAGGGCCAGGGCCCTCACCCTGGTCATCTAAATTAATCCCCCCCACCCCCGGCAGCTTTCCAGACAAGGTTGCCTGCCCGCCCGCCGCGGTTCTAACCACTAGGCAGCACGGCCTCTCTTTGTGGCTCAGATTCACGGAGGCCACTGCCCGTCTGACCCTCCAAATACCATGTGCGCTTTTGTTAATTTGACTTCCCGCATGCTCTAGTCTAGATTTCCGGCTGCAGGCGCTTGGCGATGATGATTATTACTCTAAAAGAACAGCAGGCGGCCGGCGCAGGTGGAAGATCAGCGGAGAGCCTCACCACAGCCATGTTCGGACTGGCGTCAGAACAATCGGCTCGGTTTCTCTTTGTTTCCTCCTTTTCCACCCCTATCTCCCCCCACTCAATCCCTGGCTTCCTATAATTGGGTCCAGCTGCCGGTGGAGAAAAATCAATCAGAGTGACGCGCAAGGCCTCCAACATACGCGGAAAGATGATTAATTTCGCTGCGGAGTGATGCCCGTGTTTTCCTCACTTGAAAAAAAAATACTATGAAATGAAATAAAAATCTATTCCTGAGCCCCAGCGTAGACCACCGGGTGAAAATATTGGATTTGGGACATGTTGGCGTCAGACTACGACTCCCATCCTCCCCAGCCAGAATGCTCCCGCCACCCACCCACCCATGTCACACTGTGTTCTTTTCCAAATGAAATGCCTCTTGCTCGGGTTAGGAGCCGAGGTGGGTTTTAATCTTGAGGCTTCCAGCCCTCTGCCAAAGTTTTAGACCCTGAGAGGGTGGCTTTCTACCTGCGGGGAGTTCAGGGATGTGCCCAGATTTTCACCCATCGCTGAGTTTTGAGACTGTGCGGTTTCTTATCCATTTGACCTTAGAACAACGGACAACAAGTCCTCACCGTTTGCCTCTCAGAAGTGAGAACTCTGGTTTCCGTTCCCTTTATCCTTACCATTTCTGTCTTTTTCTTTCTCTGCCACCCCACCCCACTTTCTCCCACTACCAACACCTTTTCCCTCTCTTTTCTTGTCTCTGGTACGTTATTTTGTGAAGTTGTGAAAGGCCAGAGGAAAAAAACACACAATAATAATACAAAAGGAAACTGGATTCCCCCTCCCCCTCTTCAATATTTGAGTGGCTGTTGTTTTTTAAATGGGAGAAAGCAGCACAATCTTTCACTCTTTGAACATCTTAACGTGCCTCAGAACGTCTACAGGGTCCACATACATCCTATTTTTCTCAGACTAGATTTCTCTTGCTTGCACCTGAAGCAGAGAGGAGCATTCATCTTGAACTTTCTGCCTTCTGCTCAAGCTCTTGGTCCTGAAAGACTACCTTTCTCCTTGCGGGGAGTTCATGAACCTGTCCTGATTTTTCACAAAGCCAGTCCTCAGCACCTCACAACCACTATAAGGGAGGGAGCAGGTTCAAAGCAGGGATTTTAAAAAATCCTGAATTGAGAGGGGAAGATCGGTGGATTCAAATGAAGACTGAATGATTCACACTTTGCCTCTAATTTTTGTTCTGCCTGCAGGTTCCCAGGAAAATGGGAAAGTCATCCACATCAACAAGGTCCACCATCAACCCCTCCGGGTCGGCTTGGCGGAGCCGGTGGCTCTGCCTTGCCTCTTCCTCCTCCAACCCTCAGCTTCTCTCGGGCCCAACTCCCCTCCAGACCCGCCACGGATCAAATGGAGTAAAGTCCGGTCCGCCACGGGGCAGCCGGAAGACCTCTCAGTCTTGGTGGCCAAGGATAACGTAGTGAAGATTTCCAAAGGGTACGAAGGGAGGATCTCCCTTCCCGGTTATCCGTACCGACGCGATAACGCCACGTTGCTGCTTTCCGCCGTGCGGGCCAGCGACGCCGGGCTTTATCGGTGCGAAGTGGTGGCCGGGATTCACGACGAGCAAGACCTGGTCCCACTAGAAGTCACAGGTGAGCGGAAGAGGTTGAGGGCATCTCAAGAGACGTCCAGCAGGCGGGGAGGTCCAGAAAAGGACTTCGCCGCACTCGACCGTCTCAACATGACGAGCATTTTCTCAATGCTGCCAGCTCGCCGGCAGGAATAAGCACAAATAATGGACTGTAAATAAATATGTGCAGGGCTTCAAATGTGTAAATAAATGCACCCATTAGGAGAAATCTACAGACGTGCTCTTCACGGCTTTTAATGTGGGAATTTGGAAACAAGGTCTCACAGCAAGACGGGGGGAATTGGATGTGGAGGCCAGAGAAGTAGGACATGGAAACAGAGACATTTTCATACCCCTGTCCGGGTGGCGGTGGAGGCCGGGATTTTGAAATTTCATTTAAGGGGTTTTAAGGAAATGCAGAAATATACAGTAAAGGCGTCATCGCCATGCGGGGTATGGGAGTCTCAACATACATGGATCAGGAGCACAATATTACCACCAATAATGATGAACAGATGCCATTCATAGCTTCCATCTTTGCCGTATGGGATAATTTAGCATGCTTTACAGGAACGCTCGATTCAATTTTGCTCCTCTTTTTTTTCCCCACAAAGGCCAGTGAACGCGCAATCCGGTCCCCGCTTTCGGCTGCTTCCCATTCTCCCCCGCTTTCCCCCCTTTCTGCATGAGCGGCGGTGCATAGAAGCATGACTTCTTTTTCATAAAAATAATTTGAGCCAATCCTAATTGAACATATGCGGCTGTGATGGGGTGCTTTTTCCATCATGTTAAAAGTGTGGCAAAGATTTATTTATTTTTTTTAAGATCCCGCCGTGCCCTGGTCGTAGATACAGTAGGACTCCCATATCTGTGGTATCGGTATCTGCAGACTCACTTATCTGTGGTCTGAAAATATTAAAAGGGAAAAAAACCCCTAGAAATACATATTTTCATGATGTATTACCAGAACCGGCCACTAGAGAGAGCTAGAGATCATGCCGTGTTTTCTTGTTGCTGAATGACATGGCTCTCTCTACTGGCCAGTTCTGGTGATACATGGTGAAAATATATTTTTCTGGATTTTCTCTTTTACCATTCTATGTATAGTGTTCACTATTTTCCACTATTTACTGAATCCGGGGGAGGGGGGGGCTTGGAACCAATCCACCATGGACACAGGGGTCCTACTGCACAATCATATCCAGATCTTTTCCTCTCGTGTTCTTTTTAATGTGCATACGTGCAGTTAGTTGTCCATGACTAGACACAGAACCACAGATCCCTGAGTTGCATAAGGAAGATTTGAAACCTATGCTGCACCAGTTTATTCATCCCGTAAGTTTGGATCTCTACTCAGGTGTGGTTTTCCACTACCGAGCTGCCAGCAACCGCTACGCCTTGACGTTCTCGGCGGCACAGAGGGTCTGCGAGGAGAACTCAGCCGTCATTGCCTCACCGGCGCACCTTCAAGCCGCGTTTGAGGATGGTTATGACAACTGCGATGCCGGATGGCTTTCCGATCGCACTGTTAGGTAAGTGGGAGGAGGGCCGCTCCAGTTTGCCTTTCCATTGCAATGCGTTTTGTGGAGGTGGACGGAGTTTGGAGGAGTTTGCAACTCGGAACAACAATTGAAAGGATTATGTACTTTCTAAGCGTAGCTCGGAAAATTGGAATTATGACAACTGCGATGCCGGATGGCTTTCTGATCGCACTGTTAGGTAAGCGGGAAGAGGGGCGCTCCAGTTTGCCTTTCCATTGCAGTGCGTTTTGTGGAGGTGGACGGAGTCTGGAGGAGTTTGCAACTTGGAACAACAATTGAAAGGATTACGTACAGTGGGGTCTCTAAAGAACTTAATCCGTATTGGAAGGTGGTTCTCAAGTTGAAAAGTTCTTATGTTGAATCTGCATTTCCCATAGGAATGCATTGAAAACCATTTAATCCGTATGTGCTCTTTTCCGTCCATAGAAACTACAGTGGAACCTCTACTTAAGAACTTAATCCGTTTTGGAATGGTGTTCTTAAGTTGAAACGTTCTTAAGTTGAAGCAAAATTTCCCATAGGAATGGACTGAAAACCAATTAATCCGTTCTGGCTGTTTTTTTGTTATGTAGAGGTGCGTTCGTACATTGAAGCATTAGTTCCCATAGGAACTAATGCAAAGCTGGTTAATGCGTACTCTACCACTAGGGGGAGAATTATTTTTTAACCTAAGATGACCTAAGGTTAAAAAAGAGCAGGAAAGGGGTTTTTTTTCCTGTTCTTATCTTGGATTTCTGTTCTCAAGTAGAAGCAAAATTTAGCAAATGGAGCTGTTCTTAAGTTGGGTTGTTCTTAAGTAGGGACGTTCTTAAGTAGAGACCCCACTGGACTTTCTAAGCGTGGCTCGTAAAATTGGAGAAATGATAGTATTTTCTCCTTCAGCTTTCTTTCTTAATGCAAAGACGGTCACACAGAATCCAGCCACTCACTCTGGTTGAGGCAAAAGTGTGTTAAAAATAATAATAGGCTTAGAACGGCAGAGCTGGAAGGGACCCTAAAGATCATCCGGACCAGCCCCGGTCAAGGAGGCACAGTGGGGGAATCGAACTCCCAACCTCTGAAATATTTCTTGACCTTTCACCTTCTGTCCTGCCCTATATTTTCCCCTCCTTCTCTTCCCACTGTAGGTATCCCATCACCCTTTCGAGGCCGGGCTGTTACGGAGACCGCAACAGTCTTCCGGGCGTCCGGAGTTACGGTGAGAGGGATGCCGAGGAAACTTACGACGTCTACTGTTATGCAAAAGAGCTTCGGGGTGAGTGACAAGAATGTATTTGTCATGTGCTATTTTCAGAGTCCACGATTTCTGCTTAGATATCTCTGGGGTATTAGACATTGAAGAAGAATTTGGCAAGTTCCTAGTCCTCATCGTTTTCGACCAGCTTGACTCAGTAGGACATGTCAGCAAGAGATAACTCACGACATCCAGATGAGATGCAAACAGATAACTATGTCCCCCCCTTAGGATCTGTCTAATTCTTCCCAAAATGAGTGCTTAAGAAACAAAGTACACAGAGAGTAACAGCCCAGAAGGACAAGCTGATGGTTGGAAAGGAGACAAGCAACCCATCCAGAGCTTCAAGATGTTCCCAGGTCCACCGATTTTAGGATTTTAGACTGTTTGAGTCTTATTCTGCACACTAATTCTGGCTTCTTAAATGCCAGGACAGAATAAGGACCAGCAGCAAAATCGTGCAGGGTTTTTCTCGGTGAGGAGATGATGGTTGGGATCCCTCGCCCTCTGCCGTGTGTATGGCACCCGCAAGATTTGACACCAACGCATACCCGCCCGTGCACGCAGACCCCAAGCAATGGCTAAAAGGGCTGCCATGAGATTCTCCCTTCCCGTCGCCTTAATAAAAAAGAACATAGCCATTATCCACGGCTCTAAGAAAGCTTTCGTAATGAAACGAAGAGTGCCTTCAAAAACCAAATTGGTTTCTCCCCAGAGCCCCGGAATCGCAGGGAAGCGTCATTTTGATAAATTGGACACGCACGGGTACTTCCTTTGTCTCTGTCTAGAGAAATGAGGCTGCGCTGAGTAGGGGTTACAAACCCGTCTTGTCTTTCCTTGGATGCTGGTTTTCGTCGCAAACCTCTGAGCTCAACGGGTGCTTCCTTCAAAGCTCACGTAAGCCAGAAACGGATGGAAATTTTCAGCAGAGGTGGGACCACCTTGAAAGCAATCCAATCAACCTATGGCAGAATATTTCCTGTCCTGTCCTGGAGGACATCGTAAATGACAGGAATCAACCACCTATCACAGTGACTCCCAACCTTCGGTCACCCAGATGTTCTTGGGCTCTGACTCCCAGAAGCCTTCATCCCTAGCTGTGGTGGCCAGGATTTCTGGGAGCTGTAGTTGTTAAGCCGTGTCCAACTCTTCGTGACCCCATGGACCAGAGC